CATGCCCTGCTTATTAGTCGCCATGATTTTATAACGAAATAATTATTTCCGTAACATGCCTTATTAGTCGCTAGGGATCTTATATCAAAGTATTGGTATCAAAATAAAGAACAAAGTAAAAGACAAAATAATAACAATAATACAACATTTCCAATAATAAATAACAGATATCAATATTTTATTACAAGAGATGAAGTAGTTCTGCTTTCAGTTTTATCTACTAGCTTAACTTTCCACCTGGGAAAAGGTCATTTAAATAATAAATTTTATATCACCATCCAAATTCATCACTTTAGGATTTTTACACATTCCAAGATAAACATTGACATTATTTGCATTTCTGTTAGTAAATTCTTGAAGGGTTTCTACTAAAAATCTCTCCAGGTAGTTGGCTGAACAGAACTATATGACTGTTTATGATCAAGTGATCAAGTTGGTGTTCAAAATCTAAATACATGAGTTTCACCAACTTGTCATCTAATCCAAAAATTTTACTAAATCATTTAGTATCCACATCCAACACTTTTGAGAGTGGTGGCCTACACTTCCATATATGCCGTCTAAAAAATATTAAGAATTAGCAATGCAATTGCAAAATAAAAATATAGTTTAACATTCATACTTACAAATCCGCGAGCAAGTCATGTCCAACGAGTAAGACACCCATTGTGTCATCATCCACCTCTTGTTCCTTGAAGCCTATTGGCAATTACAATTTGCTTTCAACCCTTTACAAGTAGCCATGAAGGCATCAAGGCTCTGTCAGAAATTTTATTCGTCACTAGTATTTTACGAGCATTCTCGGACAACTCGTTTACATGTCCATCCCCAGGGAGTGGGCTTTGGAGTTAATCCCATATACCACGTCATTGCTGGGCCGAGCTTTAATTCATTCTTCGATGTGGACTCGTACTATCAAAAACAATCCTTCCTTATTCTCTAATTTTTTGTGGCGCCGGAGGAGTTCATCTCTTGTTGTTGTTGGAGTGGTTGAACTTGTAAAACTGGTGGTGGGTTAGCTAGAAGTGCTGGTTTTAGGGATTGACTTGGTAGGTATGTTACTCTTTATACGTCTTCTTTTGTGATACAATCAACCTGAAATAGGCAATTCATATAACAAAATTCTAAACAATGGATTAGATATTGCGGCGAATGAATGTTGGCTTAAACCCGGCATCTGCTGTTGTTGGAGAAAATACTATTTGAATTGAATCAAAGTATCGGTTTATTTATTTCTGTATAATGAAATTATATATAGGATTATCCGTATATGAAAAATAGCGAATACAATGGTTCTACTAATACGAAAAGGCAATACGTTTTTTGGAGATAGGTTGCAATTGTGGTTGCTCAAAAAGAGTACCAAAAGAAAAGTTTGCCGAATTACGTGAGGCGTTTCAAGCTCTTTCTAGATCCGAACAAGACATATTTTTAATGGCCCAGACGGATGGTGGAGAAATAGCTACCAGCCAACGTCTTAAATAAAAGAAAACGCGTATTAATCAGAGGACTTTTATTGGGATTGCAATACGCCACTTTGTCAGAAAGCGTATCTCAATATGTTGAGAATTGGTCGCACTCATTTGTAAAACGTCAGAAATTATCTGGTAACGAATGGTATAATACCGCGTGTCCATGGTAATGTCGCGATGAAAAACCAAAATAACAATTAATTTAACCGTTGCTACAGTCGTGAAGAATCTTCTCGAGAATTATTATTATTATATACTGAAATCCATGGACTACCAAGCCCCTGGTAGAAACGTCAACCGAATTACTTAATCGCTTGCACTAAATCGGTCTATCGTGATTTATTGCAAGTCTAGAAAACGTTGAAATTGTTAAAATATGACGCATTCCACTATGGCACCAGTTAACGCCTTATATTCAAATTACGAGTCCAAGAACGGATTTATGTCAACGGTTTCGGAATGGCTTACAGAATAATGCTCGCAAGAAGAAGCAAATTAGCAGAACAACAGAGAAACTTGGTAGATGAGCATTTTATAACAAGAGGTAAAGCTGATTGTACATTCCGATCAACAGGCAAGATTTATTATCCTAGTCCGCGTAAAGTTCATTTTTCGGTATTCAAGATGAAGCGGTACGCGAACAAATCTGCTTTGTATTTTCATTTTTAAAATACTTCTAATAGTGCTGTAATTTTTGAAAATTGGTTTTATATTAATATTTTTTTATTATACACATAATCGTATATTAAAAGTTATGAAAAATTAGTCTATAGGTTCATCGCTTGGTTGATCTTTCAGCAAATTGGAGGGAAGCCATATAAATTTCCAAACCTTGAAACCCACACGCAAGTTAAAGACAATTGAACGAATGACTAAGGGCCAATCTAATCGGAGGGCAAAAGTAAAACCCCTACAAGTAGTTTAGATGTGAAATGAAGTGAAAGAGCTTGATACCGAAGAGGGCATCAGTGTAAACGTTCAGTTCGATACTTCGACGTCAAATGTTCACTTGCAGTACGCCCCCATATCTATCTCTCATTCCTTGCACATCATTCATTGATCACTAATTGGCAGGAAGCTTTTTTTCTGAATTCAAAGTCTGTATATTATACTTTTATGGCGAATAGGAGTGACGATAGAAGGTATAAATAATATACAATATAAATAATGAACACTGCCATGCCTGGGGAAACTGTGCCTCCCCCATGAATTCCCGCCAATCATACTGTCAAACGATAGCGTTTATCAAAAGTAAACTAAATAAATATTATCTGCACAATAAATAAATAAGATTGCCAAGTCGTTTCAGCACGCAAAAAAAAAAAGTCTGAAAATAAATTGGAATAAAAAAGCGAACAATCAAACTCATCTTGGGAAGTAATTAATGATTGGTGGGCAATCCAGGGAGCGAAGCGGGTGAACACAGAGGAAAGTTTACGATACCGTCCCACTATTATCGCACCTTAGGGAAAGCTGGCATCGCACCTTTTCAATTCCTCATGTTAGACGCGCGTCCCAATCTTATACGACGCTCTTCACCCAACAGTAGAGTACTCAGCGCACGGAGAGATGCACAATTTGCCCCAGGCATTTGACACGGTTGGCCTAAAAATGTTACAAAAAAAAAGATGCATGGAAAAGAATTAAACAAAATGAATCATACAAATTATTGAATATTGAACAGTACAGCACAAATTGGAACGCCCAACAACTACATCTTTCGTCTAGCAAACGTCTTGTTCAAGAGCTGGAGTATTTTGCTCACGTCTAACTGGACGTATTCGAGGTCTAGTGATACTACGTTGTCTTGTTGCTATATAATAGACAATTAAATGTGTTACTAAGTAGGATTCACTTAATGCAACCGCAAAACACTGGAATATTAACCTTCTCTAAAAGATCATCAAGTTTGAGATCCATCTCTAGAATGGCTGCTTCTCGTCCTCGGTAATGTAAAGCAATTACAAAAGTTCCTGGAACCGGTGACGTGATATTAAAGTAGATATCTCGCCGTCTACCATAAATGAAACCATTATAATTGATAAGTAAGCACTGTCCGTGACAATTAAAGCCAAAATGAAAATGGGGAAAATATGTCAAGTCCAAATGTAGTGATTTATCTTCCCCTCAATAAAATCATACCGATAATCAGGAACACTGCTTTCGACAATTATTCCATCCCTCTCCAATTGGATATAAGTAAACTTGTATGGTCCTATTGCTTTCTGTTTTTGAGTATTGTCCTTATCACCAACTTTCACAACGCTCACTGGTCCAACACTATCCTTTGACGTTTGTATTCTCACATTCTGTAAATACGCTTTATACTGCTCCAGCTGACTCCTTAGATAATTGTTATGGTCACATATAGTTTTATATACTGCCTCGAGGGATTTGATCTCCTCGTTGACAAGTTCGCGCAAATTACCCAAATGAGCCAATTCTTGGGCAACTTCCTCAGTCATAAGTTTATACCCATCACTACTGTCAGTTACATGAGCTTCTTCGAGTTCTCGTAGCATCTCTTTAACTTTGATACCTTTGCGAACGAGTGTGGCATCTTTGGTGGTAGCGGCAGTTTCAGCAATGTAGGCTAGATCAATTGGCCGTCGCTCAGCGACACGCGGCATCGAGCGGATCAACTGAACAAAGATGGATTTGGTTTCCATGTAAAGAATGTCGTTTTGGGTTAGATTATTGTCGGACATGAGAGCTGTTGCAAGATCTATGTGCACAAGCATGCGAAAAGATACTGCTGTTAGTAAAAGTTATTTGTAGAATCATTACAAGTGAAAAATAATAAAACCTTGTATAGGAGTCTCCCAACGGCTGAATAGAGGCAACTCGATTGCTCTGTTCTCTTTACGCGGTACTTGCGGTGGGGCGGGACCAACCTCATCAAGCAATATGCGGAGATGGCTCTTGTCCGATGCTGCCTGCAAATTACATTTCGAATTATAAATGCTTGTAAATTGTGGACAAATCGACTAGAAAAAACATGTACGATTGTATTTACCAATTCGTTTTTATGTTGAAGTAATAGATCATGTGTGTTATATATTTCGTTCAAGGTTATATGAAGTACAAGGTCTTTCTTTGATAGAGCAATGTACTGGTCCATCTGAATAAAAAGTGATTTGTATCAGAAATAAGGTTATAGATGTTATGATTTGTGCAATCCAAATATCTCACCTCCAAACTTTCGTAAAAGTCTCCCACTTCGCACAAACTCAACAAAAATTTATTAATCCTCCGTTTATTCTCTTCAACGAATGGATTCAACATTTTCATATACGCTTCTTTGGCATATGTGGGTTTATTGGCAAGATTCTGAAGCATTTTTGCTATCTATGGAAGCAATAGTGACGCATAAGTAACGACTTGTCGTCGTGAAGCTCGTTAAAATGGGAAAATAATAAACTCACCAGAGTTAAAGTTCGCCTGGGGTGCTTTCCTGGCACATTGTCGACTAGCATGTAAGCTTCTGGGGTAACAACAGCTGGATTCAAAAATCGTAGGAAAAAGAACGCTCCTATCATGGAGCATATCATAAACTCGGTTGCATTTGGATATTTTCTCTATGAATATAAAAACCGAGATATGAGTACGGGGGTTATCGCAGAAAGTTCGATTATACATGTAATATCCGGTACCTTTGTTAAAGACCTAATCTGCTTGCATATCCATCTAATACCATAAGGAACTTTCTCGAGAGAATTGATAATGGTAGCCAAAAACGAATTAGCAATCTCCGTCAACATGGTCAATCTCGGAGCAATGATTGCCTGTACTTCCGCATTAGCAGCGGCATCTTCGGCCGTAACCGACCTCGGCAAATGCTCGGGCACTTGTCCAGTCTCCTCTTCTATTTGTTGGATCATTTGCAAATATACTTTTAACGGATCTATTTCTAGATTTAAATCTTTATGCTCGATTAGACTGTTAATTCGCTCCGATAAGACGGATTTCTGGTAGCTTTGACCTGGACCACGACGAGTATAAGTTGTCATCATGCGAGAGACGGGTGTATTTGCGCGGAGGAGAGAATTGAAATCTGTGGTTGTTTCAAACTGGGCTGCAAGAACAGACTTGGGAATAAGGGTTTTGAAAGTGAATACCGAATCACATGTTATAAGAGACATGGTCATATGTGATTATTGATATTAGCTCTACCTGGAACATGGTTAATAGCAGATGCTCCTCTCTGCTTTCATATTGATTTCCGTATAACGTAAACATAACAGTCTGCAATAAAACGTCAATCTCCGTCAGACTGACTAGACGACACAATGTTGCAATGTGACGTGGCTCTGTTTGAAGAAGAAAGAAAAGGTTTCCATATTGTTGCATCTTTCGATCATCTAGAAAATTTCCCTCTTGGGGGTCTGACTCTTCTAAATGACTCTCAACTTCTTGTTTCTGTAATGACACGATGCATATCGAACGTAAGTAAAAACATTGTAGGTTAATTGAAAGACCGAATAAAAATTGATGGCTGTTAGAACGTGTACACGGTTTACAATCAATTAGTTGAATAATTAATGTCTCTTGATTGCAAACAACGTAGTAGCATACCTCGTCTAAAGCCATCCGATTTTGAATCAAGAGAGCGATACGAGAATCCAAGTATCTCACATCACGCTCAAGTACAAAATTCTTTTTCGACTGTGCGGAAATGCGACTTTTTAATTCTCTTAGGCGTTTTTGTGCTATAACAAACGCAATTTTTAAAAAAAAAAGTTAGAGTGTTTGTAATAACGAATCGTAACATTTAAAACGCACACAGTATGACAGTAGTCATCCCTCATCAGAATCGCTATTTCTTTTTATCGTTCGTACCGGCCCGTTGTTCTCCCTCTGATATTCTCCCTCTTTATTCAATGAATTTACCTCTAGCCAAATCATCTTCGACTTCGACATCTTGTTCAGCTGCCATTGAATATAAAGCAGTGACAGAGTATCTCTTGCTTGTCCGATTATTACCGTTTCCCGTTGTCACCCGCCGTCCGCTTGTGGCTGTCGACGAGCGGGACACCACCGGAAGAGGGATGCCATAACTTGCTAATATACTTTGTCGATCCATCGGTTTGTCGGTGGAAAAAAAAGCAAGATGTTGAAAAGTGGTATGAGAGTCAAAACAAATGTAATAATTATTTAAAATAGGGTTGTGGAAGGAAATTAGTGAAGTAATGAGTGAGAGAGCGTGCAGGTTAAAATTGAAAGGAAGAGTGTCTTGAAGCAGCGAGGAGATAAGAGGTTATAGAATAGGGAATACTTGGCTGTCGAAACACAAGGGTAATTTAGAGGAACTGTGTGATTATTTTGAAATTTTCATATGGACAAGTGTAACCTTGTACGCAACAAAATCGGTAAGTCGGTTTTATTCCCCCCAACCGCTTTTTTCTTACGACAAACACTTGCAGCTATATAATACCAGCCTTGTCTCTGTCTCTTGATCTATGCATTCGATGTCAGAATTAATTAGGCGCTGCACGAATAATGTTTGCAGACTATCGCGTATAGCATAACGAGCTCGAAGAAAGACATACTGTTGTCAATATGCCGTGCAATATTGGAAGAGACATAATGTCAAGGCCGTCATGTATCGAGTCATGTCATTATTGTATGCATTGGTCTATCAATGATTTTTCCTTTGATAATGGGTTTATTTGATTTAATTACCTTACATATACGAAAGACGACAAGGAGGAGAACTGGTCATCTAGTAACTATAATAACTACACGCAATCAAGCAATGAAACAGTAATCGAGCAAGCAAGCAATGAAACAAGCAATCGAGCAATTAATTAATTCAGATTTTCACGATGACTTGACACATATTTAACTTGACACGAGTTTATTTATAACTTTACCACCCGCGAACTAACTGCTGAGAATTTTTCAGTTAAATTACGTAAATAGCATTTTATTTATAGGAATTAATATGACACAAATCAATCTCTGGGGTGTAACAGACATATGGCACATACAGCATTATACAACGGCGCTTTGGTATGGACATTTTATTGGTAGGGAGATGCTAGGAACAAAGGATAAGGTGTATACACGTGACATGTAATAACGTATTAATATTAATATTAGGTATTAGATATTAAGTAAGATACTATTGCTATCGCTATTCTATAGTAATAGATGCAGTCCTGTTAATTGGTACTTACAAAGCAATGCACCTATTTGCATTTCGATTGGGCGTGGTACTACGACATAGGACAATGCTTTTTGCATGTCAATTCCTCACCCACAAAGTGTCTTTATTCTAGAAGCTTTATCAGGACATGGGTCACTTGCTTCTCTTACACGCAAGCGCCTCCTGACCTCTTGTTTCCCCAACTAAACACCGCCCTAGTTTCCTCTTTTTTTTTTGACTGCTTATTTGCCGGTATGATTTCCATATATGGAATTGAATGACCTTTGTATTTTGAATGATTTCTCTTTCTGAGAAATTAGTCTCTCTCTTGGAGCGATCATTATTCGTTATTGTTCTCTATACATAAGTAGGCGTTGTCATTAGCTTGTCATTAGCGACTTTTTGGAGACGGGGCCTGGTTTGCCGGCGATAAAAAGGTCCAAAAATGACGATATTTATTTGGTCTACTATTGCCACAACATCTTATCGGGCAATATGCATAAGACGGGTTTCTTTGTTTGTGATAGCGGCAATATGTATCGATATATGTAGATATATGTATAGACCCTAAATTAATGTTAACGCTGAAACCTGACACAGACATCAATTCGACTGTCGCAACTGTTGTGCAATTCTTATACTGCTATTGTAATTATAGTGTATTAGTATTGTTATTTAGTATTGTCATGTTTTTATTTGCCGGATGAAACAAAACCCCCCCTTGACATTGGACATAATGACAAAATGCATGCTGATGGATTGTTTACAATGATGCCGCAAACGTGGCAACATGCCTTAAGCGAATGATATCGCAAACATTGTGCCGAGTTTACGCATCGTAACTTTCATAGTAGCACAATGATGGGAAGAGATATATGAGAGAGGAACGGTTGTCGGAAAGGATAAAAGCAATGATACAAGTAACTAGTAACAAGTGCCAAGCAACAAGTAACAAGCAACAAGCAACAAGTAACAAGTGCCTTGACAACCATCCATCTCTATTACACCATCATGTCAAATATGATGTACATACTAATACAGGACATACAGCTCATCCGTTGTATCCATCCGTGTGTGCCATGTATGAAATAAACTCTTTTCTTCTTTTCTTCGTGGGGCATCGTCACCCCGCATCTTGCACATTGCAGTTATACTTTTTGTCTGTGCATGTCGATTACCGCCATCTAGATCCGTGTGGGTGATATCGGTAAGACGCAGAGGAGGAGGATGATGGATGTTACAGTAAACATAGTAATAGTAGATAATATATATTAGTACTGTATTATAAATATACTTTTCTATTGACGTATATTTATACAGAGTATGGCAGACACAAAATATTAATAATTTATTGTAACTATTGTCTCAACGGATTAGAATCATCGAATTATATTGTTTCCTCATTACACAGACAATCCACGATTGACATCAACGTTCTCTGTCTTTGTTGAAGAAATTACAAGCATTCCGCTTACAGTAACCGTATCACAAAGTAATTTACCGTTTATAGCCGAGAACCGACCCCCTTTTCATACTCCATTTCTCCTTATAACACGGCGCTTTCCCCTCCACAACACACAAAAAATTTCACTTTTTGCGCACATTTCTACTAATAATAATTAATTGTTGTAATTATCATCACCAAATCATTAAAATGTCTCGCTCATTCAGAACAACACGAAGACGTTCTTCCGTATTAGAGGATGATGTAACAAAAACACTGCTGGCAGCTAAAACACCTACCCCAATTTCAAAACGCCGTGGATCAGCCGTTTCGATAGAAAGTCTCCAACCATCGTCTCGCCGCAATTCTATAATAATGATAGATGCACCTATACTAGCCACCGACTTTACAAACGGACAACACAAAGTACTAGAACTAACAGACACTTGCGAATTTATCAACGATGTTCCGGCTGTGCTTAGTCTACCAAGTCCTCCAAAAAGTCCCGACTCTGAAAACGACGAAGACATCGGGACATTATCACAACACGCTCATCAGCGATCATTATCCATGTCTTCAGATAATCCAATACCGTCAATTGGTAAACCGACACAAAAGTTCGACTACCATTATGCCTACAAGCAAAGATCAAAAATGTCAACAAGAAAGTTGGAAAGTTTCTTTGGAGAAAAACCACCTCTCGATATCTGCATGAAGGAGATTGAGAAGGAAGGGCTAAAGGCGATGCTCAATTCTAAAATACCCTTGTGTTATTTCATGTATTCTTTATTGGAAGAATATTCCGCAGAGAACTTGGTAAGTAAGCAAAAGAGGGTTATATCGAAGGGTTATATCGAAGGGTTATATTGAAAGGGTTATATTGAAAGGGTTATATTGAAAGGGTTATATTGAAAGGGTTATATTGAAAGGGTTATATTAAAAGGGTTATATCGAAAGGGTTATATTGAAAGGGTTATATTTTGATTTCATTCAGCTGTCAATCAGTCATTTGCCAGTCAAATCTTACCTTATTAGTCATGGGTGACTTGTGTGAAATGGCATTATGACCAAAAATGGTTATTCCGACCAAAAATGGTTATTCAAAAGACGTAAACTAACACTTGTCCGTTTGTATTACAGTTCTTCTTACTCGAAGTGGAACAATACGAATCCTTCGACTATCTATGTTCCAACCAGCAATTCGCAACAGCACAACATATATTCGTAACTTACCTTACACCAAATTCACAATTCGAAGTTAATGTTGACGATAAAGTACGAAAATCAGTAATAACTTCAATAAAAAGTCAACAAAATTTACGACATTGTTTCAATGATGCAAAGAGAGCAGTATTGGCCTTGCTCGAAGTTAGCTTTGCGCAATTCATGAGAAGCAATGCGGCTGATATGATGAAAAGAGATATAGGTAAGCATCATGGAAAACCCATGAAATTACGTATTCGTGTTTACGTGCGTGTTTACACGCTCTTTATGACCCCAACTAACATTCACATGTTTCCAATTTGTTACAGGCGAAGCAACAACCCACTATTCACCAGAAGCCAGAGACAACGCAATCCTTCTCCTCCTTCGTTTTCTCGGCCGCCAATCGCCTCTCTCTTCAGGTTCTGTCCCTACACCGGCACCCTCTGCTCCATCTTCTCCAATAACCTCGCCGACCGTCGCCATCTCTCAACATCGACATCAGTTGGTGCGAACAATGGTGTACGAGTTTGTTCGTGCGTTGCTAGACATTGACGTCGAAACTTACTTCTCCGAAGGAATAAGAAATCGATTCAATGACCGAGGCGAATCAAAAGGAAACTCTGTTGACATGGGAACATGGGAAGAGGATATGGAACTGTTTGGGGAAAATGGAGTTGGGTGTGCTGGCGCAAATGTTAAGCATAGAAAGAGTGTCAAGGAATTGAATCCATTTAAAAAGGGACATTACCGAAACGGGCATGGGCGGAGATAAATGTAGAGTTAAATGAAAGAAAAAAAAAACAAATACCAAAACAAATACCAACAAATACCAACAAATACACAAACACATACACAAACACATACACATACACACACATACACACACGCAAAAAAGAGGATATTTCAGATATATTCGATTTTTTTTCTATCACAAATCACAAACATCAAATTTTCTTCTAATTCCTCTTCACTTGTATAATATCATCAATTCATGCATACTTGTTTATGAAAAAGAAAAAATAGAAGTCTAATTTTAGACAACACTTTGCACTATTAATAAGCATCTCTTTATAAAATACCAAATCTATATAAGCATCATTCGAAAATAAGCATAGAAAGTCTCGGGAAAGACTTAAACAATGTAACTATTCCAGAAATAAAACAGTGAAACTGTTGATTATTTGTCCATAATAGATCATAAAACTTAACCGACCATTACAAATACAAATATTGACAACACTTGGTCTAAAGTCATTGTTGGTAGATAAATAAATACAAGCTCGATGGTCATATGCTGAAAGTAGAAAAGCGTGAGGAGGAGGTGGGAATAATAAATCCAAAGATACAAGATGAAAAGATATAAACCTCGTCTTAAAAAGCCACTCTGGTTTACCGTCTAAGCTCATAAATCCGAACCTTTTGCTCATTCGTCACTGTCGCAATACCATCAACCAAGGATACTTTGAATTTTCTGGCGAGCTTTTTAAAGAATCGTCCTTCTTCCTCGACCGATAACGCACGTCTCTTGTATCCGAGGTATATTTTTGTATGATTTGAAGTACAAACAGCACACAAAGTCCCAATCAAAACATCAAACAGTTCTATTGCAAAATGGGAATTATGCGTATAGTGACTCGTGAAATTAGATAAATTCCAATCACGGAAATTCACAAGATTATCTCACCTGGTTCGTATACAACATCAGACGCCAACACAATGTCAAACGTTCCAAGTTTCTTTGCTTTGTTAACTCTGCCCCATTCAAGCATCACAACCTCGGTTGACACTTTAGCTTCATTAATTAGATACTTGTTCAACAACCGATTTTTATTTATCAGCTTTAGAGCATGCTGAAGGTCCGTTAAAACGAAATTGGTTTTTGGAACTTTTGCGGTAGTCTCATGCTGTGCCATCACGCTGCAAAAAGCCGCTAGATATAGTCCTATTAAACCCGTTCCTGTTGACAAGTCTAGGATTCGTTTACCAAATAAAAATGACCGATCCTTCATGAAACTATCCTTCATAAACTGCAAAACAATAAATGCCGAATCCCAGACTTTTCCAGAAACTCGTCCATCCCAAACTTCTTGAATTAAAAAAGTTTTCTTGTGTGGAAGTGAAAAGGCTCGATAGTTGTTGATAAGGTACGTGTCTGTTATCCAGGAACGTTGACTAGACGCAGAGGTTGAACCAGATGAAGAGGTCGGAGAATCAAACTGGGGACTATCAGGCGAAGGAGACGAAGGAGAAGAAGAATTTGGTGAATGAGAATCTGGTGAAGAGTTCGATAAAGAATCATCAGTAAAATTGGCTTCATCTCCGAGATCATCCAGCGGTTCTTGATGATGCGCACAGGATGAATGGTGTTGATAACAATGCCCAATCTCAATGGGTCCCACTAATAATGGTACAATCTTACAATGTTCTATTCGATTTATACTTTCAAAAGAGTCTTTACCATGTCCATCATTTCTAACCATCTCTGCAACTGGATATATGTGAAGATACCGCCAATTGTTACACTGCCGATTATAAAAATCGTCGTTGGTGGTTAATTTTTTAGAAACAACTCTAAATTCTAGTCCTCCTTTGCCTCCATGAATACCTGGCCATTGGATGTTCGTCAGTTCGCTCCATTCACAGGCCTCTTCACTCAGCGGTCGTACCTCAACGCAAAAGTCGTTATTGTCATTTCCTGATCGGATGTTTAAGACTTCACAGTCAAGACTATATCCTTCCACTTTATCCATATCTCCTTTTTTGTAAAGGCCAATTTCGCTCACTAACATCAAATCCATTGTATACCACATGTTGAGATGAATGTAGGGATGGATAGGTCTCTTGAGACACAGTCTATAATGAAAGGTCTTTGCTAGTTCGTGATAACTCTTATTATCTTCCACGACCAGTTCGAATGCCTGAGAAAGGTTGGTATAATCTTCCTTAGCGACCATATCCGAGACTCGACGCAACCGATCAGTCACGCAATGAAGATTAAAGTTGATGGTATCTACTCGAAGACGAGATATGAGAGGAGCCATATGGCGAAGAAAGGGGGAAAGCAATCCATCGTAATAGAATGGTATTACGTCATTGTTCTGAATTAATGTCTTTATGTGTTCGAGATCTTTGAGTGCAAGGCCCCATTTCCTTTGTTCTTCATAGGCTAGGCTTCGAAGCCACAGTCCGAGAATGAGACAAAAACTCGCGTCTGTTGTTGTTTTCTGACGACATTGAGCCTCGAAACACAATGGGCGAATAATTTCGGTTGAGAGAGACTCGACGCGAGTCCATTTGTGTTCTTGTTGGTAGCACAGAGCGCGTACGAGAAGCACGTGCGTGTTTGTTGTATGGGCTAGATCACGCATCTTATCATTGACACTATTGTTATTGTTATTGTTATTGTTGTTGTTGTTGGTGGTGGTGGTGGTGTTGTTGTTGTTAATGTTATTACTAAGATTGACTCTAAGAACGTTTTTGGTAGTGTGTCTATTGTTCTTGTTGTTACTGTCGCTGTTATTACCGGCATTATTATCGCTATCAGCATCCTTCTCACTGCTACGATCGCTTCTTTGCTTGTGGTCGTCCTTGTCAGTGCTAAAGCTGTTGCTGCTGTCTCTCTTGTCCTTATCACCTTCCCTGCTCTTGCTGCTTCCGTTAACAAAGGTCGAGGCATAATTATCGAGCAACTCGATGGCTTTAGAGTAGGAACCTTTGGCGTACGCCTCGTAAAGTTCGGCATATACGCTGTTTTGGTATACTTCCCAAGCAGTTCTCCGTCCGCGAAAGCCATGGATATCATGCAATTTTCCGTACGTCGGCATGGTTGAAGAAATATGGTGCGACTTTTGTGCCCTTTACTTAGAAGGTCTAAGCGTACCAGTAAGTTGTCAAAACTGGAGTGATGCAAACAAAGGAGAGAAAATCGTATCTCGATTCATCGGAAGCTCGGTCATTTACCAACTTGTTTACGTCATGTACCAATCGTGGCTAGAGTACCGGGGGTTGATCTGGAAAATTTCCTTTTACAGTATACTGTGAAAGCTATCATTGTTTGTATTGTCACGTGAATAAAAAAGACAAACGCTGGGGTTTTTTTTATTGACACAAGGATTAAAACACCGCAACTCGTGCAACGTGAGAGTGATAATATTGTGTCGCACGAATTTCAATAATACAGGTTTTGTTCTAATACTTTGATAGAACCAAGGGAGGTTAGACAATGATGCAGAACTATACTGGTAAGATGAGTAATCTAACAGAGTGTTAAAAGGTTAGAACAGCCAAAAGAAGCTAAAAGAACATTTTAAAGTTCATTGCATAAATTTAAGTGATGAGATCAATATATTAATTAATATTGACAGCCATCATATCGAGAGAATAAAGATGCACGTTTATCGTTATAGCTTATTGTATTGCCAAAAAGTGCACGTCTTGCGTCAATTATAGAACACCCAAAATCTGGCTTGGCTTGAGCAAAATCGGTCAAACAGAGGGGCAACCAAGTTTGGCAATTTACGAACTGACGAGTCCAGCTGTTAATTGAAAGATCTCGATTCCATTCCTGGTGTGCGTATCATAATGACCAGTAACTAGTAAACCTTATCATCGCGTTGAGAGAGCAATCGCACAAAGTCCTTGTTGTATTACTTGATGGGAAATCAACCATCAGCGACAAACATATTAGTTTCCCACAGACATTGTCCACACGTTGACACTGTTTCCCTCGCTCTCGTTACAACTACCGATACTTTGCAACTGCCACATGTCGATTCCTTTCCTACTTCTTCGTGTCAATTTAGACTCTTGAAATTGTGGGGATGCTGGCGCATTATATACGGAAGCGTTAAACGATTTAGCAGTCTGTTCCAACACCATTTGTCCCCGTTCCATAGCCAAACGATGTGCATCTGATGCAGGTATTATTTCTGCACGCTTTTTGAGATTGTCGGCGTTGGTCAGTTTAATCTTACGCATAGAAAATCGAGACTTTGGCGGTTGAAACTCTTCTTCACTCGACGAAATAGAAGACTGCGAAACAGGTTCACAAGAGGGAAGCAACTTGGGTGTGGCTGGGATAACATCTATAGACCTCTCGAAATCGAGATGAGATGGTTTTTTGAGAGGCCTGGGAGACTTTGGTGGTTTGATCGTGGGGTCATTTTCCGAAAATGTAGTTCTGGATGGAGGACGTTTACATTTTATATCGTTGTCGATTGCCTGAATTGCATTGGTCTGATTTGTCGACTTTCGGCTGGCACCTGTCCTTGATCTCCTCTTGTTTAATTTGGTGTATAACCTAAATCTCTTTGGAGGAGCAAAAATTTCATCATCAGAAGATTGGGACATGTTCCGTCTGTGGGATAGGGTTTAAAAAAGTCGCGTCACTAAATTAGTTATGCAAAATATTTAGTTGATCACGATATACCATCAGTTATCTCAGGAGCGGGGAGTGCAAACCATTCAAACTCCGGAAAATTTCGACACTCCCAAGACTTTTTAAATAGGCTGTGCCAGAGCTTTGACGTTGGGAAGATCTTTTCGGGTTCGAAATTATGAGAAAGTTACACGAAATAATACGCACGGGAGCAACTATTTATCCAAAAGCATTTGCATAGACTCATTTGAGAATCAGATTATCGTGTCATACGAAGAATGATGATATTGGTGAAAATCCAGTCTTGAAGGAATGGATCTGGGAGTCAGAACGTTCTCGATCTTCAGAATTGGATATCGTCTACACGCTCGTGATTGTTTATTTCCTTTTCCTTATCGACTTGTCGCACTGTTTCGTAAAGTATTATCTATGACCTTAGCTAATCCGTCAAGTCTCAGTCTAATTTTACATTCTTGTATATAGATTTTACAAATTTGTTTGCCGCAAAGTAACCAACAGAACCTGAGATCGATTGAAATAAACACGATACTTGAGAAAACATCAAATGTAATTTTTTAGACACGAGTATTTTAGTCTGATACATACCCAATACTGTAAATAGTCCAAAACAAATTATTGCCGTGTTTCCAAAATAAAATGATGTTTGGAATAATCCATACATTCTGGAAAGTATTATAAAGTTAGTTTGGACTAACTCAACAGAAACTGCCCGTTGCTTGCAAACTTACTTTGTTCGATACATATAATAGTATACGGCATAAAAATAAACATAGACAGAAGTTGATCCGCACGTCAGGAAACTGATCCAATGCCTACAAACCATTGAAAACAAGTCGGTTATGGACGTGAATTTACCGTTGAAAACTAAAAAGAGGACGACTTACCATCTATGATCTTCGGAATTGAGCAAAACGTATATGCTAAATACAGCGACACATGCTGTAACGACTAAAAGAATGATGAAAATAACCAGGAGGAATCCATACACGTAATAAACTTTGTATGCCCAAAACGAGGAGAATATAAAATATATCTCAATGAAAATTGAGATAAATGGCAGTAAACCACCGAGTGCTATGATAACAATCGGTTCGGCATGCCTGCAAAAAAGACATTGGTCAGTCGTGTTTCAATTATAAACGTTCAAATATAGCCAGCATTAAATTTCATCAATCATAAATACCAGGCTTTATCAGGGATAGTTCGTGGTATTGGATTCACCCGACAAGGAAAGTCCGGTTGGACGCCCCAACTACTCGCTAGAACGGCACCAAGCATGGTTAACGGGATCACTAAGAACAACCATATGGCTAGCATCGCCAACTATAATCATATGATAGGGTGAGGACACGGAAAAGAAAAAATATAAATGCCCAAGGCAGAAAAATAGTTTGAGACTTACGATAACCAGGAATGGAATAGCTCTTGAACTAGAATAGTATACTGCTATTATATTAATGAACAAAGTAACAGCACTCGCGAAACCTGGACATAATGTCGCTGTAAGTAGAACAGCCTTAAACGTGTCACGTCCTTGTAAATACAAAAAATTATCAATCTTAAAAAACAGACAAATAATAAACACAAAATTTCACGTTCTGCAGTTGGTTTCCATATACCTCCATAAATACTGTATGTTCGCGTAGTCGTAAAGCCAGCAATAACCGATGTCAAGGCATACAGGAAAATTGCTGCTGTCAATATAGTATCACGCCTATCAAATTAGAAAAAAAAGTTACATTCGTCTCTCATTAATATGTTTAAAGTTTACTATTCTCTCAAAGTCTACTCACTCTGCATAAAGCTCGCCAATAATTATGTACAAAATCAACACCAACATAAGCCATATTAGTTGATGACCAGTTCCAACCAATGCAGAAAACAACAATAGTCGCGGTGGTGAACGGAATATGTCACCGTGAACTTGCTTCCATCCATATTCATCGCCAAAATCACGATCCTATTATTCAGGTAGAAAATAACGAGTGTGAAGCGCGAGAATAGACGAGAGATGGAAAACTTATGAAACAAGTAATAACGTACCAGATCGTCAAAACTTTCCATTCTGTCATATCGGGCAAAGTCGCGTTTGAGCATCCGGACTAGCAAAAAACCAACAGCACCAGTTAAAACAATTACTATCATAAGAGAATTCCATATGGAGAACCAATGAACCTATATCAATTATACTAATCGTATTAGTAAATATTCAGGAAAAATGCTTTCCAATATGACACAATCTTACCCTATGTTCAAAGAATTCCGCGTCCAAATACTTGTCGAATCGATCCTCAAACCTGGCATTAGTATCAACCCATTTAACTGAATATGATAAGTGTAAACGCATTCTATCAGATTCCAAAGGCAATCTGACAGGGTTTCCACTCGTGTTGTTAACCTCAATTATCTACCATAGTCGCCGAATCGTCAGCAAGATATTTTAAGCAATCACGACCGGTGATAAATTGCATTTTTAGAATAGCTCACCTTGTCGCCATTATAGCTTATGACAAAGCTGCTATGAGAGTATAAATAAGCATCTGTTGTATTGCGGTCCTCTATTCCAACGAATCCTTTAGAATAAATTAGAGAGTTCGTAAGACACAGGATAACGTGTAAGTGTGAAAAAGACTTGTAGTAAAGTTCTATTACCCCAAATCGGCAAGTCATCTGCATTAGAGGGAGCAATCACATAAATTTGTTATTGTTGTTGCTACGATACGATAGACCCCGCCAAAATAATAATAATATGTATAAAGACATGGCAAGCCAAGTCAATCGCTCATACCAAGGAACATCTGATACCAATAATTGTTCGTTATTGCATAACGAAAGGAGCGTATATCTTTAGCAGTAAGCAAGACATCACATATTGTGGCATTTTCTTCATCGACTAGTCAAAATATCGAAAAATCACATTGAGTTTTATTAAATTATTAGATCACACCTCAGCACATAGCTATATTACTGTATTTAATAATACTTCTATGTTACGAATCAAATCAATGGCCAATTCGGTTAATTCAACGAGATCTATTCGACATACCAAGAAACTTCATCCCAATTCCCGAGTTTACCAATTCCATTCCTAATAATGCCTCTCCCAAAGTCTCATGGTGGTGTTCCACGACTTGCTTGCCACGACAATATGGTAATTGATAGTATTCATATGTCTCTTGTCTATTTGATAGAGGCCCGACTGTGTTCATCCATATTATTACAGCTTCTCCTTTTTGGTACTATGTCACGTCATAACAAAAGAAGGAACAAGAATTCCTTCATTCTGAGTTAGTCCGATAATGAAAAGAAAGCAATAACTACTCAGATACCAGAAGAAATGCTGTTTATGCCGAAGCGGTATCTACTAACAGACAGAATGTGCTTACTTTGTGCGTATGCTCATCTGCCGCAGTCGGTAACAATACGATTGCGACAAGGAAGAGCGAAAGAAATAAAAGGGTCATGGCTTGATCGAATATAAAGTTAAGGAGAGTAGAAAATGTCTGTCATAATGCTGTTGACTTTTAAACCACGTGACATATGCATTTCGAAATTTGTGAACTACAAAAAAACTTGAATCGACATGCTTTACTTGTATGTCATCGATGCATATTGATAGATAGATACATTGAGAATGTTCGGTGAGATAATTCTTACATGTGTGTAGAAACTAGCCTTATCGGTAACGATGAGTCATAAGTCTACTCTTGCTAACTGAATACTCAGTGACGAGGAACTTTTAGCTACAATGTTCAAGTGTAAAGAAACTATCGAGAGGGCTTCTTTTTTTAATCAACAATATTAATATTAATATTATTATAATAATAGTTAATATCAGTAACGTGATTTGACGTTATGTCCGTGTAACTTAATTCCTAATACAGTAAAATTCATTACAGTTTCGAGAGCCAAATGGTAAATATCTTGATCACATTTGTTCTTCTTAAATATGTTGGAATATAATCGAGAAGCTAAAACGGTATGGAGGTGAATAATTTGTCGCTCACAAAGTGTTTCTGATAAAAAGATCAAAGTATAGTATGTGGGGGGGATGCAAGTTTTCGCATTAGCGTCATACAGCCCTCATTTAAGCCAAAGACACGTATCCTGATTATTCGATTAAGAACTCAGAACACTGGATATACCATTTCCCCGATAATTCCTAAAACATAGTGCTTTTGTATAATAAAAGTCTTTGGTCATTTTATATATTCAACGGTCATAGCAGGCATACCATAAATAAAGAATGATTATAATAATATTAGCCGATTAGGTGAAGATGAACAACAGATCATTAAAGACATCTCGAATGAGGACATAAAACGAGCACTTGGCCGTTGAATGTTTCAATATCGTAATAGAGTTGTAAGAGAGTGATATTTCCGTCAGACCTCGAAAGATCATTATCTGTAATACCGCAATCAGCGTCACACTATAAACAACAGCCTCGTCATGGAATAAAAGGCTGTTAACTTCATTCTTGTTACTGAATTGTCATTTCATACATACAAGATATCATAAGTTGGAAGGTAGAGCTCAACTGCAGTCGGTATGGAGGTAAATTTACAATAATTGGTAACCTATGCACTGTGTCACATTCTAGAAGGTCGCGTTTTGTTTAACACGCTCAAGAATCTGCTTTATGCCGTTCCCCTTTCTCTGGTGAATCTCGAGGAGATGTCGTTGGGTATTATCCCTTAAACCGTTAAGCGGGCAAATATTGCCCGCTTAAATTATTTTTATGTAATTGTTCGTGATTTGCCTAACCCATTTTCCTAAGCCAAAATGAAAGTGTACTACCACGCGGATTATCCTATGATTCAATAATAATCTCAATTTCCACTCTACAAAAATACAGTTGAAAAGTATGTCGTCTCCTCTTGAAACCACAGAAGAATATGTTGATAGCGTGAATGCGTATGTATCATATTTGACATCTCGCCGACATTCTGTAGACAATCCGGATGAGAAGAAGAAGACATTGAGAGTATTTATAAGACTAGATACAGACTCCTAAGTTTGAACAACTCATTCATTCAAGGTCACTGCATCAGCTCTTTATTAATTTGTCACCACATTATGAAGTCAATCAAATCAAAGTCAGTTTTGGTGCGTAATGTGTAATGGTACCGCTTTGCTATAATAGCAATCAGAACTATTTAATAAGGAATAAATTTTCTTGCTAGCATTTATCTAATTAATTAACACAACTATCCTAATTGCATAAATTTCACTATGGATATGTCCCCATATTATATAGTACGTTTGCTTCGTTTTATTAGAAATAAATTACGTGGGTGGTTTGAAAAGTTTGGTGATTCGAGATACCTCGCGGCCGAAGCATGGTAAATTTCATGTTTCGAAGTTTTGTCCTTCGTTTGGGTCGTATGACGGATGCCATAAGTGGGTTTAATTTTAGCATAAGTTTGACTGTTCCAGTAAATTTGAGCTAAGAATAGTATGTAAAATTTTCCCGGGATCAAATTTTCTCCGCGGGCAAATCTGCCCGCTTGAATGTACGGTAATCGATCGTTTAATATGAATCGAGGCATTACACAAGCTCCATTCAGATCAACGGAAGGATAACTTCCGTTATTAGTTCATTACTATTGATTATTATATTGATGCGCTTTATAAGCAGAAAATAATTCTTCAATTATACTTTTCCTGATTACATTAGTATTTTTTTGTTCTTAAAACCCGAAGAATAAGACAACGGCAATGCTACTCATGATGGTGAACAATGGTGGTGACGAAAGTGACGACTCACTGTCCTGTGGTGGTTCAGTACCGACAGGCTTAATACTAAACGTCTCACTCTCGGCCAAGGCTTCATAACCATGATACGGTATATCCCCGTTTAAAATGACTGCTGGGTAGGCCTTGACTACCCAATTACCGCTGATGACATCCCAATTGGATGGTATCTTCCAGTCATATTTCTCAGACGCAATTGGAACAGAAAAGGCTGAGGGCTGTGTAGTCTCGAACGAGGTGTTTCCGTTGCGTTGCTTCAATCCTAGCCAGAGGCTAATATTTGTTGGGACTGGACGAGATGAAGAATTGGCGCGAATCAGACAATGTATTATTCAAAGAAATCTATATGTTATCATTGTAACAACTGTTGGGCGGAAAGATCGCTTTCTTACCGTTACCAGAGTATGTCCATGTTATAGAAGCAGTCTTATTAGCTACAGCATAGTATCGAGAATTAGGTGTGATGAACACAATATTGGCTACAGCAGAAACGGCTAATACAACAAGAAAGAATGCAAGAGAGCCGGGCCGCATTGTGTTATTCGACGAGAATTCGTGTTCCCACTTAGTTTCTACTCCCAAGGTTTATCGAGCACCATTATATATGCTGTATGAGGCTGGTTGGTGTGGCTGGTACACATGTCCGATCCGATAATACGTTTAACCATTAACGACAATTACTATCAAAAAGATTAAAATCGATACTTCTTTAATTACTTGCAACCAATCGTATTGATGAAGAGCAAACTTTATTATTTTCAGCGTGAAGAATTAATATTTAAGGAGTGTATGTAAACAGGAGTATTTTGTGCAATGTAAAAAATGCTTCTGTGTGATTGGGAGTAGCGTATTAGAAAATTTAGTTGCGCTAACACTGACGCCCCAGTCAAGCGGTCATAAAACACTATAAAAATAAAAGCGAAATACATACAGTACATTTTTCCGTCGTCCTCTGAATTGTGAGCGAGGGAAGCCAAAAGAACAAGTGAGAGAAATTGAAACATGGGCAAGTGTAATTAATGGTTCCCAAGAAAAGAATATAAACAAGGGAAGAGTTGATATAAGCTATAAATTTGTTCTGCTTCATAAATAAAATAAGCAAATAAACCTCTGCACCGCTATTACTTCTTTCCCTTTTGTCTCTCATTTTCTTCTTTTCGCTCTCTTTTTCGATCTTTCCGCTTATAAATCGGGCCTCTTCCGGAGATGCTGAGAATGTAATACATATTAGTAATGGCATTGATGCAGGAATCCAATAATAATTGTCGTAATTAAAAACGTAATAAGTGAATTGTTGGCTTTGTTGTCAAATTGAATGACATATTCGACAGTAAAGCGCATTGATTAAACATCGGCTGTCTTCATGATTTTTCGGTACGGTTATTAAACTCGTCAATAGAGAAATTAATACAAGAATAAACGTGATTGTATTTTAAAACTTCTCATTTTCAACTGTGATATGTGTACGTCTAAATATCCCACAACCATGTTAAAAACATCTAACAATATTAATTGACATAATGTTTTACCAATTGAGTGTTCACAATGTCTAATAGTTGAGACAAATTTCTTGATACTTATACATTTCAAAGATAGTCTGCGAATATATATTTTTTAAATGACTTTTATGAGCAAACTTTAGTTCAACTTTACGAGGTTAAACTTATGGCAGTTTGCTATCGTTCAACTTAATATTAATACTGGTTACCAATCAATGGCTATGTCCACCTAAAGTATATAATATCCAACGCCTAAAATAATAAGATTTGCCTGCTTCACGTTCTTTGGTCTCGAAACCATCAATTTCGATATTCCGCTTTTTTATATTATAAACCGTATTTTCGTTACTCCAACTAAGCTTTTTATATATATATATATATAAATATACAAAGCGAAAATTTTTTTAATGTATATACATTCTATATAACAATTTATCAATCAACCAGGACATTCTGATAGCAGTTTTCGATATATCAGGCACATTAAATTACAAAGGATCAAAATGCCATTATATTATTGACCATAAAGAATTTCATATCCTCACATAAGAGTACAGTATGTCTTTTGCGGGATGCTTGCCTCAGTCTCAGACTAATAATAATAATGGTTATTATCAGAAATTAATCCATACGTCGCACAGGCTCGTATATTATTCTTTCATTGGACGCTCAGCCTCAATAAATAGAAATATTACGAGCTATGCGACGTGTCAGGTTAATTCCTACAATATTCTATTCTCTTCAGGGAAGTAAACGACGATATCAATGACAACAACAGCGCTGAAGAAATGCCCTCTTTCTAAGTGCGGATACGGACCTGTGGATGGTAAATCATCGAGGCTTTGAGTATTATCATAGGGAAGCTAGCTTCCTACTTCTAAAATAACAGACAACGAAGCGATAACAACGAACAGCAATGAGCAATTGCCAACGGCCATGAAGAACACGATGTATAAGAGTGAGTCATGCAATCCGAAACATCCTCTAGCGCTTGTCGTGTGCCAGAATGCGAAAGAGCCTCTTTCTAATTGCGGAATAGCACCTGTGGGTGGTAGGGGAATGCGCCTGAAGCGTCGGCCTCATGTCGTACGATTTACGGGAAACTCACAAAAATGTTTGTTTTTATATTCTGCTAATGCTGGAAGAATAATATGACAACAAATTATCACTTTAGCCAAGAACGACGTGTGTTTGCATTAAATTAAGATATTAGCCATATTAATGTTCACTTTTTAGTAATAGCTTGGTTTAGTAATCGTTTCGTAGCTACTAAATAAATTTGTTATTAGTATTATCGAAAATTACAAAAACACAGCAATTCACTGCACTCAACTCTTCACACTTTTTCTGCAATTCTCTTGATAAGTACGCGCGGTTCTAGTGTCAGTATTTACGGCAGAGTTCCTAAAAGCTGGAATCACTTATTAATGTGACAGATTAAAACAAAATCGGATTAAAATGAAAATTTAAAATTTTTTGGGAGGCAATTTTCTAGGCTATTTTGGGATTTGGGTTGGGATTTAGGGTAACTTTGTTAATATAAGAGTATATGTGGGCTTCAGAGGCATTAAAAGATGACACCAAATTTCGTTTTAATCCGATTTTGTTTTAATCTGCCACAATAAATACATTAATATTAGATCGTTTGTTTGTGGAACATCTATTCTATTAGTTATTTTAGTCGGACAATTAAAAATCGGTGGAAAAATAATTTTGTCGCTCGAATTAAACTGCAGCGAAGAACATTTGATAAATCTCAATGGAATACAAATGACTTATTTCCTTCTTTATAATAAAGGGTTGTTGTGGCATACTTACCCTGGAATTACTGATTGTCCAAAGGCTTTTGTAACACACTGTATGTCATAGATATACTAGCACGGCAGCTCGTTAAAGAGCCTAACACATTCTTCTCTGGGCAACGATCAAGTGCGGTGCAAACGCTTGTTTAATGCTGAATTTTGTAAAGTGTAAAGTTTTGCGCTTTTACTGGTCACGTTTTATTTAGCTTTACGCGTTGGTACAATGGTACAATGGTACAATGGTTATATAGCGAATATGCACAAAGAGAATGCATGATAATAATATAACACCATAAGCAGATTTGAAATATTTTGATAATGATAACTTGTTGTCTAGACCCAGTTTGGGCGAGTGTAATTGGTACTAAATATAATAAAGATCTTGACGTATATACCAGACTAAAGTCTCTCCTCGACAGGGTTCGTAATTGGCGTTGGATGTACTAGACTCGCAATGTTTATTGCAAAGTAAAAGAGATATCCTAACTGCGTTATTTTGCTTCCTCTGTGCAAGTGTAATACAGAAATCTGCGCAAATACAACTTTAAAATTTAGCAATTACAATGTGCTACAGAGGTCGTATTTCATCATCGGTACGCCACCGCAGTGTGAACGGAATAATTACATGATTTAAATTTGTAATCGTTAATAAATAATGACATATATCTGAATGCCTGTTTTAGAATAAATGTATTATTATCTATTACAATGAATATGAATACTTCCAGATACAAGATGTTCGTTCTCAAAATTTACTGGTAAAACGTATGAAAGAAATTTTGTTCATTGTTCGTAATTTTCGAAATTAATTAATTGGTATTCAGTCTGTTATCGTTTATGAAGTGGCAGTATTTATGAAAATACTTTTAGGGTATGCGTATTAGTATTAGTATTAGTATGTGCCATTAACTACCAATTTTACCAAGCAACCAAAGAAAACAATATAATTAATATTAATACTTAATTAAGAAGAAAAGCACGTTTCTTAGGATCGGGCGAATAAACATGTATTAAAGATCTATTAGGCATTGTGGTCTTTCAAGAATACTAATACGCACTTTATGAAGGTAACCAATCAAATATTGAGATTGTGGGATCAGCTGACACCTCATTTTTAATAGTTATTAAAATTGACATTGGAAGAATGCAGCATATGCGCACTATTACTTGTCGAGATCTTATTGCCAGTGGGACAGATTCCCAGAAGAAATAACGTCTATTTTAATAAGCAGAGATGGTAATGGGTCGGAGGTCTACCACCGAATGGTCACATGTTTGTGTGATATAAATTTAAATATGGATCACAGTGTATGGTTTACGTCATGGTATCATTATTATTGTAAAGGCATTCCGACGTCCACGTAATATATCGAACAGAATAATTACGCAACTGCGGTTTGCGTGGTCAAGACTATATTAACGCCAAGTCACACGTATACTCTTCTCTTTGGCGAAGCCTTTTCTGTTCCTTGAATATATATAAGCTATTATAACTAGCACTTCCAATCACATTCATCTCTCTTGACTTTTTTATTTTCTTGTAATATATTTGTTCTTATTCTCCTTTTTTTATATACGAGTCTCTCACAGCCATGTCAACTGTTGGTAATAGAATTGTTCTCAAAGCCTCTTTGCGCACGGGAAATGGCATTGTCTCCCGTCGCATACCAGTTAGGTATACACCAGACCTTACTTTCGACGAAGTCTATTCGTTGGTATGTATTTAATGTAAACATGTCTGATTCAAAGACTGTTCTTGCACGCATGGGAAACTTTATTGAAACAAAACCCACCTAACCGTGACTATTTGTCGTTACACTAAAGCTGTCAGAAGTGTATGAAATCGAACACTTCGTCATTTACTATGCTGATGAGGGCAACGATAGAATACATGTCAAGAGCGACGGAGAATTACGAGACGTTATCGCCCGTTTGAAGGAAACAAATGGCGCAGAAAATAAATTAGTTATAAAACTTCAGTTGGAAAAAATATTGAAACCCGAGCCAGTTAGTTCAGTTGCTAATAATACGCCCGGTATTTATTTTATTCCATCATTTCATTTACTTCTTACACAGGAAATCGAACATGTGTGTTTTCTGACTTACCAATATTGATTTTTAGTAGACCCGGTTCTTACGCCTGTCTCATATTCCAGCGCGTCTAACGATACAGCCTCAAATACAGATTGTGATAATGTGGACGACGATCATCCGTTTGAACGCGTAATAAATCATGTCATGAAGAACGTTCAAGACATCATTCAGAATATCGTTCAGCCGATAAGTGAGTTGTCTGACAACTCTGAAGATCAACAAGAAGAGCAGCAAACAAATGACGTCGCTACCTCTTCAGAATCTGAATTCCCACAGCATTCATCTACATCCTCAATACCATCTTCGATAACAGAGACACAGGAAGTCGCTCAACCCCCTCCATATTGTTCGATACCTCCTCGAATACCATCACTATCCTCCCCGCGACCTCCTCGGTATTCCGTAAGAGTAGCCGTTCATCATGGTATTAAATGCGATGTGTGCAATGAGACGATTCGCGGTATGCGCTGGAAGTGTAAGAATTGCCGAGACTATGACTTGTGTCAACAATGTAAATCAAACCCACCAAGCGTTGGTTTTCATCCGGCTACCCACGAGTTCCAATCTATCCCATATCCTCTCCATAATGTACGAACGACACAATCCGTCAATATGCACTCGGCTATTTGTGATTTCTGCGAGTCTGTTGTCCTCGGAACCAGGCACAAATGTATAAATTGTCCTGATTTTGACTTGTGCAGTAATTGTGTTGGTGAGTAGCCTACGTGTCGTAATTTGACGATTTGATGCTGTGTTGTAGATGATAAGCGTTGTTATTAACGGCCCGATTATTATTTCGAAATAGCACTTGCTCCAACACAACACCCGAACCACACCTTTATGCAAATCCAACGACCTGGCGAGCCAGAAATAAAAATCCTTGGTAATGTTCGCATTCACGATTGTTTGCTGTTGTTTGCGTTGATTCTGTAAATCTATTGCTTACTTTCTCCCTGCATAAATTTCTGTTTTGATAGATTCTGCACAGCACCCGGGAATCAAGTGCGACCACTGCAATAAACAAATCACAGGATTGAGATACAAGGTTAGGCTTTTTCGATGTACACTTTGAAATAAATGCATGATGCTGATCGTCTATTTATTATTTTTAGTGCGGCAATTGCTCCGATTTTGACCTCTGCGGAAACTGTGAAGCCTCTCCCCTAAATGATCACGATAAAACTCATGTATTCCTTAAAATACGACGACCTACACCAAATCCCATCATATCACATAAGCCCTTGTTACCAAACCTCTACGTTGTTCAAGAACCAACATCTTACAAAGGACGCTACGGCTGTTACTCCCGCTGTTATTACCCAAAATCTTCGTCCACTTGTAATGTCTCTTTAGCGTCTTCTCAGATAAATCAACCAGCAACTAATTTGACTAACAGTAATGAGCCAGTTGTACCTAATTCGACACCCTCGTCTGTCAAAAGGTTAGTAAATAATCCTAGTTGATGGTTAAACTTGTCCTAGCGAATAAGAGCCTGATATTTGATCTTACTTTTAGCGGATCCAGCACGAGTAAAGCACCAATAGCCTTATATGACACTAAGGAAACGCATTACAATCCAATCGAACCATTATGGCATGCAAGCGTCCCAAGGTCGGCGAACTTGGATAGCCAATCCAGCGAGCAAGAAGTACGAGAACCTTCATCAGGATCCTATAAATCTCGTTTCTTGGGAGACGTAAATGTGCCAGACAAAACAGTCATGGTACCCCAAGCTCAATTCGTGAAAATTTGGCGCTTGCAAAACGATGGTACGGTTGCATGGCCGGAATCGACAATGTTGCAATTTCTTGACGGACATACGATGTTCAATAAATCGCTCAAAGCTGGTGATGACAAATTCAGGCCGAAGTTCCACGTGGGTGCTGTTGAACCTGGTCAGACTTGTGAAGTTTCTGCTGATTTGCAAGCGCCTGCAGAGCCAGGAGAATATGTCTCGTAAGTTTTCTTTTTCTTTTCTCTCAGTTATTGGATTGTTTTCCGATTCCCATAAGGGAATTAGAGTTCCTTGTGCTTCTTGCACGAATAGTACACGGATATCTGACTTATAACTCGAATCTGCTTATTATAACACCTTGTCATTAGTTACTGGCGCCTAGTGGATGGCGAGGGTAACCGTTTTGGCTATCGTGTTTGGTGTGAAATCAATGTCGAGGCAATCGATCAATATTCCAGTCTCTCCAGCTCTTCAATGATATTCCCAGTCCTCGACAATCCAGTCTCTGACATATCCAGTTCACGATCTTCCATGACATCAGTTGATACTGGACTTCATACGTCTGATGTTGAGAACACGGAGGTCGAACACCTTGATGATGACGACGAAGATGAGGATGACGATCCATTCCGTGATCCTGAAGTTGAGATATCAATCACAACTGACCAGGACTCCGATGCCGATTCAACAGAGATAGAATCGCAATGTGGATTTGATGCTACGGGTGTTGAGGATTCACTCGATCTGTTATACGACTCCAGATACTATACAACCTGTGTGGATTCTGACAACGATGAATTCGTTTTTGTCGATGATTCCGACGACGAAGAAGAGATGGGTGCTTCCCAGGTGTTGAGTCAAGGTTCTAGCGCAGATGTTGAGCTTCAGGACAACGCAACTCGTGATGAGGTGAGTCATTAGATCAGAAATATTGACGAGGTATGGGCTGTAACTGTATGATTTGGTATTACAATCAGTTTCTGAAACCGGTGATGTTAATTTAACAATTTCGGAATAGAACTCGAAGTTCGCCAACGAATTGAGAAAGCTAAAAGAACTGGTATAGTAGAAATCAATAACGCCTGCTTGAAATGATTTAACCAATGATTATTGGGGCTAATTACGAATAATCTGGCTATAGGGTTTCACGGACCGAGAAAAAAATATCAGATTACTGGAGCTCCATGGCGGGAATCTAAAGCAAGTGGAAGAATTACTGTTTCTTATATGAACAACATATTGTATAAGATTAGTTGACGATTCAATAATACCCATCTTTTGGAACTGTCTTTAATGAATAACTATTTTAAATCACTTTTCTGTTTTCTTGTATTGTTTTTTCCAACGAAATAAACCTTTTCGAACACTTGTAGTCGTTTGTGTTGATATCACTGTTGATTTTTTAGCATAATAATGATAATGCGTGTACGTAAGCCTTTGATTCCTTCGAGTTGATGTTTTCCATCAACAGAGATAAGCATCAATTGGACTTGTGTAAATCGGGAGTAAAGCAAAGTCTAACTATATCGACATTCGCGAGAATTTTGCATATTATTTTCGCACCAAGACGAGATAGAATCTAGACAGAATTGGTGCCATTCTTTTTATTATCTAACGCATATCTGTCAAAAATCCTAATTATAATCAGATTTTCGTGTGTGAGAGTATAAGATTAAAATTAAAACAGTCTTTTTTTCATTAAATAAGCAGTTTCATGGCATCTCACGCTCTTAACAATGATATGTTTGATTCTTACGTCATTATTATGTCTCTAATTTCCTACTAGTTAACTTCCCTTACCTCTAGCTGTAATATTTATCTCTAAACCAACCATCTCTGGAAGACAAATTTCCATTTAGCGTATTTAATACTTACGTACAATAGCTCAATTGTGTATAATAAATTCCAAATGGATTATATTCTCCCGTAGCGAAATTCAGCCGGGCCGAAATATGCACATTCACTGTCCGAAACAACGACGAAAAACCAACTATCAATAATGGCCAATGAAATCGAGCCATTCGTTGGATTTTAGGGGAATTGGGGATCTTTTGTGCGTGGGACATCAATGTACTTATTTAGTTAGACTAAGACAATATGTTTTTATAATAATAGTGTGCGCACATAAAAAATCGGCATACTAATAATACTACTAATACGCTACATCAAATATTTTATTCGAAGAGTCGAGTAGAATGTCTCCGGAGGATGTAACCACCGAAGACTCGTTTGAAACCAACCAAAACTATGTTGGAGATTGCGAGAGAGATCCTCTTCTCGGTGGTCGTGCTCCTCCGAAAAAGAAGTTTAGACTAAAGACCATAGCCAGAGCTCTCCTTTTGGTATTATTTGTAGCATTCGTAATAGTCCTAGTAGCGGTGAGTGAAATAGGCATTAATCAATGTGAAGTTATAATTGTATTACAAGAAGAAATGAGTAACGAGTGGAATTATACATAGGTTTTCCACATACAAGATCACGTAAAAGACGCTCTCAAATATATTGAAGAACACAAAGAGAATGGTATATTGGTATATCTTTCGCTATATGTAGCATGCACATGGTTATTCTTGCCAGGGTGAGTGAATTCCACATAAACATTAGCTGGTGTCTTTGGTTATTTCTAGGTCATTGTTTGAAGTTTGACAAGCGGAAAGGGTGACACTACCTTTTTTGTTCTACCTCTTCTTACTTATTGCGTGTACCATGTTTACCCAATATTTTAATCAGCTCTCTCTTGAGTATAGCTGCCGGGTTCTTGTTCAAGCCTGCTCTTCTGGCAGCAGGCATAATCATACTCGGGGATACAATCAGCGCATTAGGTACTTTTCTCTTTGGGAGATATATTTTCTCGGACTGGGTGCGTGCGCAAGTCGCAAAGAAACCTTTATTTAATGCATTAAATTATGTGATTGCGGATGAAGGTAATTTACATTGAACGAAGCCATTACATTTTGCAATGGTTGATTCATAGCTCATGGTTGTGATTGCTTTCATTAGGCTGGAAGATTGTTGTCATGCTTAGATTGACACCAATTCCGTTTAACATAATCAGTTATTTCTTCTCTGTGAGTTCGATTGACGTAAGTATATGAGTAGTTACTACTAGATTGTGTTACTACTAGCATGATTAAGGGACTCGACATTGAAATCAACGTTTGTTTGTTTGTTTTTTTTTTAAGCTTTTCTCTTTTTTGTGGGCCACCGCTCTTGGCGTGCTGCCAGGAACTTTTAATGCTGTATGGATTGGGACGCTGGTCAAGAACTTGAGTGGGATTGATAAACCAAAGTTGGAGAATCAAGGTCGGTGTACGTGATATATATTTGCATTCAATTCATCGGATATTAATATGTATCATCGACTATTATAGATATCGTGATCATTGCTATGAATTTCATTCTCGCTAGTTGTGGTGTAATAGCATTATCTATGGTTGGTAAACGTTCCACGAGGAGAGCAATGGTTATGTTAGAAGCCTCGAAAGAGCAGCCGAGGATAAACGAAGATGCTGTCGATATCGTTGAATCTTCTGGTAAGAATCTGTTCGAAATATGGGTTGTGTAATTAGAACAACTATGTCAACACGTACTTACTATTGGACTTATCGTTTAAACAGCGTCGGCAGGGCTCCTTGTTGAGGAAGACTCGCGACAGAATATACGTGGTGGATTTACCAGAACTGAAAAGATGATATTTTACTTCATTATTGCTATTGCGATACTAGATGTTCTTATATGCGTTCCCTTGTATTTTTATTATAAATCAATGTCTACGAGACATTGAATTAGACTTGTTAAGGTTATTGTATTGATTGCATGTATTATAGCTTCTTCTTTGTCTACCAATGGGCTTTACATATTATGGTAATAGATGATATTACAATAACGTTCCCGGTGTACATACGGATATTAATTGAATTGTCAAGTTGGAAAAGGAATCGCTGAGGTCTTGGGTTTCGAGAAAATATCAGCGTTGATTCAAAACTGGAAGAAGGCAAAGCGTCAGAATCTTTCGTACCTTTAGCAATTGGGTGATTGTTTTCAAAAATTTCGACTTACGGTTTAAAATCCTGAAATCTACAATATTTGGCTAAAGAAATGTAACCGAGACAACACATTTACATACACCGACTTTTGGAACGCTTCCCGTAATAAGCATTTTATCCGTTAAAATAAGCGCAACCGATTTTCAATTGTTCGCCTGCATTATGTGACCCATAACTTGTGATAATGAGCGTGCATAGCTTGGCAAATCTCTATTTCTGAGAACCTTTAACTGAGATTTTTAATTATCCCTCACAATAGTTTGATGAACCGAGAGCTTTTTATAAAAAATAATACGATTATTACTCCGGTTTTCACAATCTTTGATGGGTTATTGTTTGCGTTAGTCTTTAATCCAGAAAAGTTGACGAAATGGCATTCACCCTTGAAATTGAATCCAATATGAATAAATAAAGTTAGTCTTTACTATGCATATCGTATCCCATATAGGTTCAAGT